TGTGCGTGTGCGTGTGTGTGTGCGTGTGCGTGTGCGTGTGTGTGTGTGTATGTGTAGTATGTTTGTAGGTCTCTGTATTTCTTACTATCTGCTATAGGAGAAGGCGTCTCTGAGGATGACCGAATAAGCATTGACCTGTGAGTATAGCAGAGTATCATTATGAGTCACTTTATTGTTACTTTCTATTTTTAATAGTTCAAATGAGGAACAACCTTGCTTCACATGTCAATCCCTTCTCCTTCTCCCTCCCCTCACCCCCAGCTCCACACCAGTCCCCCAGACCATCCCTCCTACACTCCCCAAGGAGGGTAGGGCTCTCCATTGGGGCTCCCCAAAGTCCACAACATCATCCTGGTCCTGGGCTAGGTCCTCTCTCCCATGTGTCCTTGCCAAGAGAGTATACCTTCATGTGGGATGGGCTCTCAATGTCCCTTCTTACACTAGGGAAAAATACTGATCCAATATCAGGGCCCCCATATAATGCCAAGGCCTCATCATTTACATCCACATTCAGGGTTCTGGATCAGTCCAGTGTTGGCCTTCCAGACAGCCATATGCTCCCCCTTGTTCAAGCCAGATGTTTCTGTGGGTTTCTGTAGCCTGGTCCTGACCCCTTTGATCTTCATTCATCCCTCTCTGAAACTGGGTTCCAGAGTTCAGTTCAGGGTCTAGCTGTGGGTGTCTGCCTCTGCTTCCATCAGCCACTGGATGAGGGCTCTAGGATGACATATAAAGTAGTCATTAGTCTCATTATAGGGGAAGGGCATTTAGTGTAGCCTCTCCACCATTACCTAGATTGTCAGTTGGTGTCATCTTTGTAGGTCTCCAGAAATCTCCCTAGTGCCAGATCTCTCCTCTGACCCATAATGGCTCCCTCTATTATGATATCTCTCATTCTGCTCTCCTCTATTCTTGCTCCAACTCAACCTTTCTTCGCCTCCATTTCCTCCTCTGCCCTCCCTCCTTTTCTCCTCCTCTCATTCTGCCTGCTCCCTCACCCCTACCATCCCATTCTCCAGGGTAAATGCATTTTTCTTTTAGAGTCCTTCTGGTTTCCTAGTTCCTTTGCTCTGTGTCTAAAAATTGCTTTTTTCTGCTGAGTACTACATTTTCTCTATCCATTCTTCATTTGAAGGCAATCTATGTTGCTTCCAAGTTCTGGCTATTACAAACAATGCTGCTATGATCATGGTTGAACATATGTCCTTGTATGAATGTACATTATTTGGGCATATGCCCAAGAGAGGAATTGCTGAATCTTTGATCCTCAGGTGTGTTTCTTGTATACAGCAGAAGGATGGATTCTGTCTTCGTATCCATTCTGTTAGCCTGTATCTTTTTATAGGCAGATTAAGACCATTGATATTGAGGGATATTAATGTCCATTGATTGTTGTTGGTTCTTGTTTGTTTTGGATTTATTGTTGGTGGTGTCATTGTGTGTGGATTTCGCCCTCCTGTTTCTTTTCCTGTTTGATAAAGTTGAGTTATCTATTGCCTATGTATTTGTGAGTGTAGTCATCTTCATTGGGTTTGAGTTTTCCTTCCAGAACTTTCTGTAGGGCTGGATTTTTGGATATGTATTATTTAAATCTGGTTTAGTCATGGAATGTCTTATTTTCTCTATCTATAGTGATTGAAAGCTTTGCTGGGTACAGTTGTCTGGGTTGGCATCCATGTTCCCTTAGTGTTTGTAGGATATCTGTCCAGGACCTTTTGGATTTCAAAGTTTCCATTGAGAAGTCAGGAGTGATTCTGATAGATCTGCCTTTATATGATACTTGGCCTTTATCCTTTGCTGCTCTTAATATTTTCTCTTTATTCTGTAAGTTTGTTGTTTTGATTATTATGCATTGAAGGGACTTCTTTTTGTGGTCCAGTCTATTTAGGGTTCTGTAAGCTTCTTGTACTTTCATAAGCATATCCTTCTGTAGGTTGGAGAAGTTTTCTTCTATGATTTTGTTGGGTATGTTTTCTGTACCTTTGAGCTGTATTTCTTCACCTTCTTCTATACCTATTATTCTTATTCGGCCTTTTCATGGTGTCCCATATTTGCTGGATATTTTGTGTTAGGAATTTTTGGACTTAATATTTTCTTTGGTTGATGACTGTATATCCTCTGGCAAATCTTCAACAACTGAGATTCTCTCTTCCAACTCCTGTATTCTATTGGTTATGCTCACATCCTTAGTTACTGATCGTTTATCCGGCTTTTTTCCAGCATGCCCTCATTCTGTGTTTTCTTTATTGTTTCTATATCAGCTTTCATGCCTTGAACTGTTTTGAGAGCTTCCTTCACTTGTTTGGTTGATTTTTCCTGGCTTTCTTTAGATTCTTTAAAAGAATTTCTTGATTTTTTTTGTTTGTCTCTTCTTCTATTTCTTTAAGAGATTTTCTTATTTCCTCTTTAAGGAACATCTTCATAAAGTAGATTTTTATTTCTTTCTCTACTTCATCCTCTGTGTTGTGCTTTTCAGATCTTGCTATTGTGGAGTCCCTAGATTCTGGGGGTGCCATATTGGTCTTTCTGTTGTTGAGTGTGTTTTTATTCTGTCTTCTTCCCATCTCTTCACCCTGTGGGTACAGGTGGGGTCTGTCTATTTCCTCTTGTCATTAGGTGGTGTGTGGGGGCCAAGACTTCAATGTCTGCAGCTCTGGATGGTCTTGCCCCTCCTGATAATCTCCTCACTCAGCAGAGGTCATGGAGGAGGGGGAATTGAGAGTGAGGAACTGAGAGTGAGGTGTTTCTGGGCTTAGTGACTTCCTTTTTGTCTGGGCAGGTCCACTCAATGCCAGTAGCTGGCCCAGAGAGATCCGGGGGGGATGGCACGAGTTTGACAGAAATTGGACAGGAACAGGAGGGTACCCTCACCTCTTTAGAAGTCAGGGCAGTGGAGGAGAAAGGAAGAATGAGGTGTTTCTGGATTCATGGAGGTCCTCTCTGCTAGGCAGGTCCACTCTATGCAAGGCGCAGGTCCAGAGAGATCTGGAGGGGGTGATGGCGGGAGTCGGACAGGAGTAGAGCAGGAGGAGCAGGTACACTCATCTCAGGAGAGGTCAGGGCAGCAGAGGACTTTCTAATTTTTTATTGACTAGTAGTATTTGGTTTTACTCTAAGATTCTGGGATATTTAGACTCTGGCTCTTGGTTACCCAAGAAGTTTTGGGTATGTGTTCCCTCTTGTGTAGTGGGCCTTAAATCAAGTCAGAAATCAGTTAGTTCATCCTAAAAGTTTTGTGCCACCATTAGCCTAGCATATTTTAGGGCAGGAGAGCCTTGTAGATCAAAGGTTTTGTGGATGGGTTAGTATTTACATTTCTCTTTTGGTAGCCTATAGAGTACCTTTCTGTACCAAAGACACTAGAATATATGAGTGAATGTTCTATGTAGGAATGAGGTTGACCTTCCTGTGTTCAATAAGTTGTGCAGATATTATTTTTAGCAATGGGGCCTTGTTGTCTATTTGTAGAGAACAACCTATTATATTGGCAACATCCTAGGTTGTTTCAAGATTTCCATTTTGCCAGTCAACCAATTGGATGTAACCAAGTCCTGGTACTAGAAATTTCCTGTAGTGACAAGAGATAGAATGAAGGGAATATGTCTACCTCATTATTTGGCAATTTCATTAAGATCACCTTCATATATTTTCATACATTTCCACTGCATTAGGGTTTACATATCACATCTTAAATGCCTCTCAATTCTAGATCTCTCTCCCCATATTCCCTACCTTAGTACCATCTACCATTACCCTCCTCACCTGAACCTCCTTTTCCCATGCTCTACGACCCCATCCACAAAAATTATTCTATTTCTCGTTTCCAGAGAGATCCATATGTTCCCCTCAGTCCCTTCCTCTATACTTAATCCCTCAGTGTTTATGGATTGGCTGCTTCTATACTATTTTAATGGTTAATATCCACATAAAAATGAATACATACCATATTTTCTTTTGGGGTCTAAATTTCCTCACTCAGGGTGATTTTTTATAGTTCCACTCATTTGCCTACAAATTCCATAATGTTACTTTTTAAACAGTTGAATAATAATATTCCATTATGTAAATGTACCACATTTTCTTTATCTATTTGTCAGTTGATAGACATCTAGGCTCTTTCTGGTTCCTGCTATTATGAATAGAGCAGCAATAAACATGTTTAAGCAAGTGTTCTTGTGGTGAAGGATGAAGCATACTTTGTGTATATGCCAAGAGTGTTATAGCTGGATCTTGAGGTAAATGAATTCCCAACTTTCTGAGGAACTGTCATACTGATTTCCACAATTGCTGTACAATTTTGCACTCCTATTAGCAATGAATGAGTGTTTTCCTTATTCCACATCCTTGTCAGTATGAGATGCTGCTTGTGTTATTGATCTTATCTATTGTGACAGGTATAAGATGTAATTTTGCAGTAGTTTTTTATTTGTATTTGCCTGATGGCTGAATGTATTAAACATTTGTTTGTTTCACAAACATTCTCATTTCATCTATAGATAAGGCTCTGGTTACATCTGCAACTTGTTTTTAACTGGGTTGTTTGTTTTAAGGATACCTAGTATCTTGATTTCTTTATATATTTTGGATATGAGATGTATCAGAGGTAAAGTTTATAAAAATCTTTCTCTAATCTGTAGGCTGCAACCCTATTCCAATGATGGTGTCCTTTGCCATTTATCGAAAGCCAGTAGTCAACATCATCTTAAATGGAGAGAAACACAAAACAATTACACTAAATTCAGAAACAATAGAAGCTTGTCCTCTCTTCCCATACCTATCCAATATAGCTGGAGAAATGACACAACTGACAGAGATAAATGGAATACAAATTGGAAATGAAGAAGCCAAAGTTCTTTGTTAGCAGATGACATGTTAGTAGGAATAAATGACCCTAACAATTCCACTATGAAACTTCCACAGCTGAGAAGCACTTTCAGCAAAGTAACTGGATACAAAATTAACAAATAAAATCAGTAGTCCTTGTGTATACAAATCATAAATGGACTGAGAAAGAAATCAGGCAAAGAAAACCTTATACATGTGGTAATTTACACAATGGAGAATTACTCAGCGGAAAACAAAACAATGAGATCTTGAAATTCACAGGCAAATGGATGGGACTGGAAGAAAACCTCCTGAGTGAGGTAACCCAGTTTCAGAAAGACAAGCAATGTATGTACTCACTCATGTGTATATTAGACATAGATCAAAGGATTACCAGCCTACAACCCACTAGGAAACAACAGGACCCCAAGAGAAGATCACATGGTCCCATGAAGAAGAGGATGGAGACAAGAACCCCTAAATAAATTGGGAGCAAGGGGGCAATGAGGAGGGAGATGGGAATGGGAGAGGGAAAGAAGGGAAGGGGGAGGAAAACAGGAGAGAACAGGAGGACTGAGACAGATGAGGAATAGAGGAGGGCAAGAAATGAGATGCTTTGATAGAGGGAGCCACTATAGGTTTGGAGAGATTTGGCACAGGGGAAAAGTTAGGGAACCCATAGGGATGACCCCAACTAAGAAGCTAGGCAGTGGTGAAGAATCTGCCTTTGATGCCCTTCCCCTATAATGATATTGATGACTACCTTGGTTGCCATTCCTAGAGCTTTCATCCAATAGCTGATCAAAGCAGAAAAAGGCACTCACAGCAAAAAACTGAACCATACCCCTGGGATCCAGTTGCAGAGAGGGAGGAGGGATGAGCTAAGGATAGAAGACTATGCTGGACAAACCCTCAGAAACAGTAGTTGACCTGACCCAGTGAGAGCACGGAGACCCTAGTTGTAAAGCTGGGGAACCAGCATTGAACTGAACCAAGCCCTCTGAATGTGGGTTCCAGCTAGTAGGCCAGGACAGTTTATGGGACCTCTAACAGTGGAGCCAGTGTTTATTCCTAGTGCACAAATGGACTTTGGGAGCCCATTCCCTATGGGGGAATACTATTGCAGCCCAGATACAAGAAAGAGACCCTAGGCCCTCCCCCAAAGGATGTGATGGACTTTGATGATCCCCTGTATAAGGCCTTACTCTCCTTGTGGAGTGGGTAGTGGTGGGTTGGGGGACTCAGTAGGGAGCATGGGAGGATTGATATGTAAATAACAGTGCTTCTAAAAGGAAAACTTACACAATAGCCTCAAATAATGAAATATTTTGGCATAACACTAATCAAGCAAGTGAAAGACTTGTATGAAAAAAAAAACCTTTAAGTCGTTGAGGAAAGAAATGGAAGAGATATCAGAAGATGGAAAGTCCTGCATGCTCATGGATCAGTAGGATTATTGTAGTAAAAATGGACATCATGCAAAAATCAATCTGCAAATTCAATGCAATCCCCATCAAAATTCCAACATAATCCTTCACAGATCTTGATAGCCCAATTTTAATTTTCTATGGAAAAACAACAACAAAAGCAGGATACCTAAAGAAATCCTGAAAAATCAAAGAGCTGCTAGAGCTCTCACCATTCTTGATTTCAAGTTGTACTACAAAGCTATAGTAATAAAAACAGCATGGCATCAGCATAAAATAGATATGATTATCAATGAAATCAAATTGAAGACCCTGACATAAATCTACACACCAACAGATACATAATATTTTAATAAAGATGCCAGAAATACACACTGGAAACAAAATGGAATCTTTCAGCACAGATACTAAGATCAACACTTAATAAATGGGACCTCACAAACATGAAAAGCTTCTGTAAGGATTTCTGATATTTATGGATGTTCAGCCAAGCTAAATCATGAGCTCCAGGTTCACTGAGATACCCTCTCCCAAACAAGGTGGAGAAGACACAGGCAATCAACCTTTCATATCTATATCTATATTCATGCATATAAATTTGATCTCTGCAATGTGCATACATCCACATGAATATATGCACACACATACAGAGGGAGATGGCAAGATGAAGACAATCAATTGTGCTAACTTTTCAAAGGTTTCATTAAATAATAAAATATGCTTGGTATAATATGTGGTAATCTTCAAAAATTATAAAGTTAGTCATTACATATCTCATAAATTTACCACATAGACTCTCAAACTCTATTATTATTATTATTATTATTATTATTATTATTATTATTGAATATTAAAGGTTTATAACTTTTCTTTACAAACCATCAGCTTCCTCATGACTACAACCACACCACAATGACTGGTGATTTTATTGCAGCTTTCTGGTATACACAAATGATGGCTTCATTGGTGCAAGACTTTTACAGACTTTTGAACAAAGTTATAAATAAAAATCCTGTTTCACCTTGGTCAACTGATCTCAGTGAGCTACTCTAGACCCACAGTGATACTGTGCTGCATTTCTATAAGCAATATATTTGCCAGAAAACTAGTTTGTAAGTGAACAGACACTGTAGATTATCTGTGTTTTCACTTCCTCCTGGGACTCAGGTAAATGTGATATTGGAAGAGGGCTGTGAATATTTGCCAGCACACATGATGATGACATCAGTCTCCTTACCACGATAATTATATTAACTAAAGCTAGAAAGAGTCAAGTTTGCTTTGGAAACAAACCATAAGCTTTTTCCTTCAAAAGAAGTAAGTTTCACCTTCAAGTTATAAAAAATTACTTGTAAAGTAAAACGTATTAACACATACTCATTACATTTATTGGCTGATTCCAAATTAATAATAGTTATGGATCAAGGAATATAGAATTTAAATCAAGTGGCTGGTAAGTTGAACACTGAATTAGTTTCACATATCAGCTCTCAATAAAAATTGTGCTTGGAATAATATGAATCATGTTTTTATAATATATTTCAGATATAAAGTAATGCTTACTTGTGATTTTCCTACTATTTGTTTAAAATTTTAGAGGCAATTTGCATATAGTTGGATGACAGAAAAATTTTATTCAGTTTTTTGACAATTTCATGTGCATAATTTTATTATGTTAGTTCTTTGGTAATTTCATACATATTTTGATTACTTTCTCTTCCCACCTTCTCTTACCTTTTTCTCATCCCTATCTGACCCCTTCCCTGATCAGTCCTTTCTCATAATTCAAGACTTTTCATTTTGTTTGGTAACCAGTTTAATTTAACCAGAGCCATTTATGTATTACATTGTAACTATTCATTGGAGCCAAGTGAGATCAAGAGTGAGTAATTGATTATATTTTAGTATTGTATCTAATATATAAAATCCTGCAAACTTCTGATTTATTCATTTACAGTCTTGCTAACAAACAAGGCAGGTATCTACCTTAATAAATAGCAATCTTAGTTCACCATCAGTTATTTGGGGATTTGGCTACTTTGCATAATACCTACCACACAGTAGTCAGTGATTGAATGATTACTTTTATGCAAAATAACAGGAGGTGAGTTTTATTTTCCTTTCATGAAAGACAAAAATATCAAATTCAGAAACTTTGTATAATTAATCCCAAAGCCAGATAATCAAGATTCAAATTAAAATTGATCCATATAGTCTAGTTTTTTTTTATTCTGTTTTGCTTTCAATTATGTTGGGGTAAAAGAAAATTAATATGATGGCTCTAAAACTCATAAAGATAAATTTCCCTTAGAGAATCAAGCTACAGAATTCAACATTCAACAAATAAATCAGCAATATAAAGTAATTTGTAGTAGTGCCAGAGAGCACAGCTAGTGATTTTGAGTATATTTAATATTGTGATAAGTTAATTACAAACCATTTTGGAAACTATTAGAATTCTGGTAAAATTGAACAAGTTTAGACAGGAAATGGCATAATGTCAAACTCCATTCCAGCACACTTGAAAGATAAAACACTGAAGGCTATGGAATTTAGACTCTCTTTGATCTGGTGATCTCTAACTCTGTTGCTTGAAGACAGTGTCTGTGGAGTAGGAGTCAGCATGCTAGGACAGATGCTAGTCGGGCAACCTTACCCTTTGGGAGAAAGGTAATGTCATAATTTTAGGATTAGAAAAGGTAAGCATCAGGGATAAGGAGGAAAACTGGCAGAGACTCTCTTTGCAAACTTACTCTGATCTGTTTACAGAAAGGCAATCAACCATTAGTTTCAGCTTCAGATCCCTCTTTAAAAGTGTAAGAAATATAGATAAAGGTGAGTTCAGAATTGATCTCTGAAAATCTCGGTTTACACCTGCTTTGACTTACACTTAAGCCGAAATGCAAAATTACAGGAAAGGATGTTGCCTTTTTAAATTCAATGAATTATCAAATAGTACAGGCAGATGAAAAAGATGAACTTCAGTAATTTTGCCTAGGTAATGATATAATGGTTTATATCTGTTATATAGTTTTTAATATGTTTATAGATATTTGCAAAATATTGCGATCATATTTACCCCATGTTACTCTCTCTTAATCCCTACCACTCCTGAAGAAACTCCCTTCAAATAATCTTTCTCCTCCTTTCATGCCTTTTTTGTTACTTGTTTAATTTACAAATTCACATACACACACAACACACATTATTCTAAAGGATAAATGAAATGGGGTGCAAAATAAATCCAAATAATTTGAGATCATTGGTATACTTATTAATTTATGTGTTATTTGAGTTTTCTGTAAGTTTTAAAGTAAGCTAAATGATGGCTCTTTTAGCATGAATGATGTCTCAGTAAATTCAATTTCATTCAAGCACACAACTATTCTTTTAAAATAATCTCTGTGTATTCAAAATGTCCAGAGCAATATAATCTTATAATCTTCATTTTAAAAGAATTAAGTTCTTTGGATTTTTGCTTATTTGCCTGTTTATTTTCCATTATTATTCTGATAAAACATGCTTTAGATGATACACTATGCTTTTAAATTCTGAATCAGTATGATGTTTAAGCAATGTAAAAGAGCTGCAGTGGGTCAGAACAGACAGAGGATTACCTACACAAAAGGGGAAAATTCCAAAAGTACTGTGATCCAGCTCATGCAGAGCATTAAGCATAAAGTATAGTCCATCTGTAGTCAGAAGAAGGTGAGTTTTAGAATAGATTAAAATAGAGCATTGCACTATTTTAAATCATTGGCAATAATGTGGAAGTCTAAAGAGCAGCTGCTAATTTGAAATTAATATTTTATCTGACAACTAAGAGAGGTTTCTCCTCTATGTCCAGTGTAATGGATTCCAGGAAGGTTGTCTTGGCACTTAACATAAGGTCTCTAGCAGTCTGCAGAGATGGGCACTTGTGTTTATACTTTACATAAATTTAAATGGCAACTTAACTGAAAAGGCAATGAATTGTAAACTTACTGACACTGGCATTATGTGCAACTAATAAAAAAATTTTAAATGTTCTCCTTTGCTTAAAAATAGTGAATTTTTGTGTTATCTAGCAGCTACATCAAAAGTGTGCCTCTAGATTATTCTTTATTGAATTAATGATATTTAAAAGTCTACAAGTCAAAGGTATTTTTGCATCTTAAAGTGTGATTGTATGGGTAAATAGTTGCACAGTGTATACAAAGCGTGGGTTCTGTCTTTAGCATTATCAAAAGAAAATAATGCTAGCAAAAAGTTAGCACAGAAATACTCATAGGTCTAGGATACATTTTTTCAAGACAATAAAAGGTAGGAAGTGTAGGTAAAAATAACTGGGTGAAACTGAGCAATGCAGCTTGAGATATTGAAACTGGTACTGAAGGAAACTGAGCTTTTAGGATGGTGTGATGACTAAATTTCATTGTCAAATTGACACATCTGGAAAAAAGGAACCTGAGATGAAAAATCACCTCTATATAATTGATGTGTGAGGCTGTCTATGTGACATTCTCTCGATTTCTTATTGATTTAGGAAGTCCCAGTTTAAGGTGAGCCATTTTAACCCTAGGAAGTTGGGTCTGTATAAGAAGCCTGGCTGTATGCAAGCCTGGAAACCAGCAGCTTAGCAGCATTCCTTTATGGTCTCTACTTCAGTTCCTACCTCCAGTTTCTAGCCTTGGCTTGCCTTCTCACCAAAAATTGTTTTCTATAAGTCAAATACACTCTTTCCTTCACAAATTGGTTTGGTCAGTGTTTTATCATAGCAACAAAACCAAAGTACAACAGATGGTCAATTAGAAAAGTTGTGTGACTTGTATTTATTAATTAAAAGGTAGCTGATTTAAGACATGGGTAGGATGCTTAAATACAACCAAATGTACTATTACTCCCCTAAACATGTAGGATGTAAGTACATCGTTGATTCTTTTTAAATATAGAATGCTTTTTTCATGAATTGATATTTTTCTCAGAGCTGAAAAAACAGTCCTTTATGTATACACATATACATTCCAAAATATAGCAGTTTACTAAAAGTGGTGAGACGAGAAACAGATTTTTCAATTATGTGGAAAAGAAACCCTAAATAACTAGCCACTGATTGTAAATATGCAAGCCTATTTTTCATGTATATTTGCACACAGGATGTGTGACTCAACATATCTTATATGAGGCAATGCTCAAGTATTACACTTTATGTATTTACATGTATGTTCAATGTTAGTTGTTCATTTCTGCATCTGTGCTCAAAAATAAATAGTAAACTGGGCTCTGTTGTAGAAGTATCTATCCTATAGATCTTTGGTGGTATCATATCCATTTTTGTTTGACAAATGCATGGTTATAGAATAGTAACACATATATAACTTATTCTACATCATTAATGTTTATCTCAAAAATGCAAGATATTTAGCAGTAATTTATCTTTTCAGGATGTTACAAAAACTGTTGGAAGTCTGTCTTAAATAAACATGAATTTCAACAGTCTTCAACCTGTGAACATTTTCAGTCTACTTGACTCCCTGAAAGCAAATAAGCAGCATTGTGCTAAGTGTATTTCACGCTTGTTTTTTTTATTTAATTTCAGACAGATACAGACAATTTTGGATCATGGACTATAGGACTAACATCACAGAATTTGTTCTCCTGGGATTTTCTCAGACAAAAGAGATAGAAGTTATCTGCTTTGTATTATTTTTACTTTGTTACATTGCAATTTTACTTGGCAATGTACTTATTATGATTTCTGTCACATGTAGTCATCTAGTTAATCAGCCTATGTATTTCTTTCTAAGTTACCTCTCACTTTCAGACCTGTGTTACACTTCCACTGTGACCCCCAAGCTGATCATAAACTTAGTAGCAACAAAAAAGTCAATTTCCTACAATGGTTGCATGACACAGCTCTTCACCATGCACTTCTTTGGAGGCATTGAAGTCTTCATCCTCACAGGAATGGCCTATGACCGATATGTGGCCATCTGCAAGCCTCTACACTACACTATCATCATGAGCAGACAGAAGTGTGATGCCATGATTGCTGCTTCCTGTGCTGGGGGATTTCTGCATTCCTTTGGTCAATTTCTCCTGGCAGTCTTCTTACCTTACTGTGGCCCCAATGAAATAGATCACTACTTCTGTGATGTATACCCTCTGCTCAAATTGGCCTGTACTGACACCAGAAAGATTGGTTTCTTGGTTATTGCAAACTCTGGTTTGATGGGCTTAGTGACTTTTGTGGTCTTGTTGATATCATATGCTGTGATCATATATACTGTCAGGTCTTACTCTGCAGAGAATCGTCGAAAAGCACTTTCCACTTGCAGTTCCCATGTCACTGTGGTAGTCCTTTTCTTTGCTCCCCTACTGTTTATTTACATTCGGCCAGCAACTACATTACCAGAAGACAAAGTATTTGCTCTGTTTTATACTATCATTGCCCCCATGCTGAACCCCCTTATTTACACTCTCAGAAACAAGGAGATGAAGAATGCCATCAAGAGACTGTGTTACCGTATCACAGGGAATGAAGGAAACAAGTTGAAAGGCATCACTGCTTTCCACCATCACACAGTTTCTTGAAGGTGTTTCTAACTTAATTCATCAAAAGGCAAATAACCTTTCAAAGTGTCTTGTACCTAGTGATATGTATAGTGCTGTCTGTAAGCAAGTATTTGCTGTTCTGGATATTAAACCAGGCATCCTAAATGTAGTCCTGGTACCCTGATTTGCTGCTATTGTTGATCACATTGCATGTACTGCAATGCTTGTTTAGTTCTACAACAAATTATTTTTGACCTGAGGTCATCCTTAGCAATGTTCTACTGAAGTGAACACAGAAAACAAATATAATACATTATACAATGTGACTCTATACATTAAACTAAATGACATCCAGCTTTCAACCTATTAAAAAACTCTTATCTGTACCCTCATCAGAGAATATTCTAAAAGACCTACTTTATTTCCCAAATGTTTCATATTCTATTTTAATCTTTTTAAAAATCAAGCATTTTATTATTATTATTATTATTATTATTATTATTATTATTATTATTATTATTATTTAAGCTTTTACCATTTCTAAAGCCAATATATTTTTTCCAAGCCCAAAATTATCTTTTTACATAATTCTCCCCATCCTCTGGCTTTTACAGAATTTCCACCAACCCCTCTTCTGCACTGTGTGGCAGAACCATGTTCTACTTCTGTCATTTAGAGAAGAACATACCATACATACTCTTTGAGATTTGACATGCCCTGTGGTTCTGTAATAATCATTTTCATTATAAAAGGGAAGATTCTCTAATAAGGATTGAAATAGTTTTATTCCTTATTTAATACTGTAAAAATCAAAGAAAAATTTAGTGATAATTGAATGTCACCCTTGAACAAACAAAAGAATCAAATATACATGCAAACCCAGGCCAAAAAAATATCTAAGAGGCTGATGTATACTTAATTCTGATTGGAGAGGAGATCAAAGGCCTTAGGAAAACTGAATTAAGATGAAATGGATTGGAAAATAGTTTATTTTCAGTCCAATTCAAGCACCATAAAACATTGTAGTGAATAGAGCAAGGATGTCTGAGAGCTGTCAGGATGATTGAGGCTATAAAGGAGAAACATGGCAAGCTCTGTGTAAACAGAAAAATATGTGAGAACTTAAAATTTCACTTAAAGGATGCCCACAAATGAAAATAAAATGAAAGCACGATCTCCTAAAATATTTTATCTTGTTTTCTTCTTTTATTTTTTCACTTTTATCCTGGAACTTCTGACCAAGGATTAAGCAGAAAGCATGTAAGAAAAATCAAAGCAGCCCATTCAGAAATGTTTTATACATTAGGCAGAGTCTCAGTATGAAAATATGCACATGCACACACACACACACACACACACACACACACAGAGAGAGAGAGAGAGAGAGAGAGAGAGAGAGAGAGAGAGAGAAACAGACAGACAGACAGACAGACAGACAGACAGAAAGACTTATAGAAAAATTTTTCATTTAGTCCTTGAATATTACAAATAAAATTTTAAACTGGAACACATGAAACAAAATATTTGATGTAGAGATCTAAACAGGGACATTCCAAAGAGGAAACTTAAATGATCAAGAAGCAATTAAAGAAATGTTCAAGATGTTTAGTCATGAGGAAAATGCAACCAAAACTGCTCTGAGATTTAATCTTCTACCAGTTAGAATGGCCAAATCCTTTGCATATATATTGTGGCTTCTGGCTTTCTGTTTTATGGTGTGTGTGTGTGTGTGTGTGTGTGTGTGTGTGTGTGTGTGTGTGTGTGTGAGCGCGCGCACACATGCGGGAGCATGTGTGGTGTGTCTCTAAGTCTTTATGTGTTTCTTGAGCTTTTCTTTGACTCTTTTTCATCTGATTTTCTTATTCTTATTTGTTTGCTTGGGAATTATTTTATTTTATTATTATTTTTTAGATGTGTGTTTTCTAAGTAGAGACAGAAAGATATGGATTTGGATTGGAGAGGGGAATAGATGAGCTGGGATAGGGCACAAATTATCAGAATAATTGCTTAGAGATCTATTTTACATAATAGAAAAATAAATAATTCAATAAGAAAATGAAAAGAGAACACTGTGACATTGCTATGAACCAATAGAATATCACAGAAAACTGCCATAAAATTAAGTACAATTTTGACTTCCTAACAAACATTCATTGTTTCTTTTCTTCCTCCCTTCCTTAATTACTGTGTCTTTGATCTGGGGGCATCCTGTATCTGGCAGCTTACATGTATACTCCAAGAGCCGAGAAGCCTATAAGCTCCAATAATAATCAGTGCCATGGTTCTCTTCAGTCATCCAATCCAAACTCATATATTTGTTTCCTTGGCACTGTCTTCCTTTACACCTGATTATTGATTTTGAAGGCCAAAAGTCTTTTGACCCTTGAGAATACCTCAGGTCACACCCATTGCCTTTGGAGGGCAGTTAAAAGTTGTACACTAAAGTTGTATTGTTGTCTATATCTTCATTCATATTCAGTTTATGGTCAAAGGTATATTGGGAAGGTTAGGGCCTCAGTGGCTAGGAAGGACTAACAGTACATATTATATTAAGGCAGTGGTTCTCAAGCTGCCTGGTGCTGTGACCATTTAATAGATTGGTCAAAAGCACATTACTAGGGTAAGCAGTTGAGCGATTGTCAAAGCAAAATAAGGCCCCAAGTCCACAGGAGTAAGTCCACAACCAGAAAGGAAGAGCCTAACTTTGAGATACATGTCTATTGATTATAGACTGGCAAGTGAAGAATTGACATGCTTTTCTAAGAAACCTTGTTTGGACTCTTACCTTTAGCATGGTTTTAAAGTTTTAGAATATTGTGGAGAGCCATAGCACTAAGATGGCGCCTGGCTGGATGCCAGGTAGTCTGAGCTTAGCTGTAAACAAGCCTTATTTGGAAGTGCTTGAGGCATCTGGTGCTTCCTCCTTCTGTGGCCTATCCTGGATTGCCAGAAGGCATGAGCTGATTGGGCACTGAGCATCTACTTAAGGGCCTGTGGGAGCTGGGAGAAGAGAGAAGATGATGCACAAGATTCCTGAATAAACTGCTTGAAGAAGATTCATGGTCATGTTTCTCTTGCTGGTCGAGATAGACTCGACAGAATATGATCTATTTACAAAAAGCATTTAGTGTAGTTTGAACTTTCTCTGAGGTAAAACTTAACTAATTGTGTGGTATTAGTCTACACATAACAACAAAGCAGGCTTTTAAGAGTCTGCAGACTCTTAAAATGGATCCAGCTATGAAGAATGTCCCAATATATTTTCTATATATCAAGATTATACAATAAATAAAAAGTCATCATCTTGATCATTGTCAGATATGTGTGCCCTGTAGATGGAATATTTTAATGAGATATACACACAAGCAGCAGGAAAACAACATAAGCTATTTTTAGGGAAAAAATGAAGTTCTTAGGGAATAAATGAAATGACTCATGATGGAAATTATAGATAGGAGCAACTAGTTTCCATACTCAGTGACTCCATGGCCTTACTACATAGGACTTCCTAACAGAGAATCACTCATCTGATACGTTGGCCTGTTGAACACTAGTTATCACCTGCTGTATCTCTCATGGCCCTTGACAGAAACAGTTTCAAGGGAACAAGGAAACAAGGATTAACCAAGACACCCAATTTCCTAGTGTGATTTTTACATGTTCTTAAAGGACTCATCAGTGCCAGTACAATCATGTTCAGGCACTGCAATACACACATGCACAAAAACAATCAAAAACATAATTAAGGTCAAAAGAAGTCATACAATTAATTTCTTTTGGAAAGGAACTGGTATAGAACTGGCTGTCTCATAAGCAGACTTTTCATAGGATAACTTACTTTAAAAATTAAACCTTAGCACTGGAAGACCTGGCCACTAGCACTGTTGAAACTCTACAGGGGTTAACAGCCTCTGTGTTATATAGCAAATATTGTCCTAGATAAGTGTTTTTCTTTGACTACTTAAAGCAAAAGAAAAGTAAACATATTAAGAAAAAAAACTATTGCATCTGCATCATTAGTAACTCTGTATGGTAGAAATAAGTAAGGATGCATGTATATTTATGTTGAGCAATAGATGATAGATAGTATATATATGTGTGTGTGTGTGTGTGTGTGTGTGTGTGTGTGTCTGTGTGTCTGTTTATCTGTATCTGTGTGTAACAGCAGTTAATGAATAGAAAATCTATGAATTTTCAAGAAAACAAGGAGGTATAAGTAGGAGGGTTTGGAGGAAATAAAAGGAAGAGAGAAGTGTATTATAGTATTTAATATTAAAAACAATAATTAAAACATCTATGAACATACATCTTGGTTATATGATTACAATGGAGGGACTGATTATAACACCATCTGGTCTACCACAGAGGTAGCTCTACCTTTCACAATTCATTTTTGCCTTTCCTAGGAAGCTTGAGTGAAGAGCTATTGACAGTTGAAGATTTCTGGAGTAGTCAAGTCTATTTTCTTTAAGGCCTTGGCTCTTGGTATATTGACCAGACTCTAGTAGACAGCCTCCTATACATAAGTATGAAGACAAAACAAGTTGTAATCTATAAATTATTAAATTAAAATAAAGATGAGAACATAATGTTGGGATAGATAGGAAAGTAAGAGTGGACCTGAGAAGAGTTAAGAGGAGAAATTGAATATGAATATGATCAAACTATACCCTATGAATGTTCTTTAATTTGAAAAATAATGTTAGAGTTTTTGCCAGCCCCAAAAAAGCTACAGAAAATGTTTTTGTCTTATAGACAAGAAGGAAAATGTAGAATATTGAAGACATTAAGACTCCTTTGGAAACAGAGGGACAGTAATCTATCATGTTAAAGGGAATGATAGAATTGTTAGCATTGAGTCTGTCAATGGATATATAAACCAAGATACCAAACTGGAGGAAAGGTGGCAATGCAGAAAATGTTGCACAGGCAGGAAATAAAACTGAACTGTGTCACTCACAGGTAGTTTTCACCTCTAGTATTACTTTTATGCCCCCTCAACCCTGCCTGTTTATTACAGTCTAAAGATCTTTGTAAACATAGAAATTGGCCAATAAATTGTGAATGTCTTTAAAGTGTGGAACATATTCCTTTAAAACATTTGTGAAAGATTGGGTTAAGGAAAGCACAGTCTTGGAAATTAATATCAGCAAAAGATTCAACTTATGTGGAAAGCAGAGTACATAGTCTTTATTCTTAGCCCTATTATTCATATTGCTAATGAACAATTGCTGATAATAATAATAATGACAGATGTTAGCTATGGACACAAATTGTGCCCCCACAGACTTTTGGGTCTGGGGGTCCCACAATCAACCAGGAGCTTCTGGGCCCACCAGTGGCTGAGTCTGTGATAGACACAAATGCCACCCCAGACTTATGGGTTTGTGAGGGTAACAATTGAGCATGAGCCTGCCTACCTGGCATTTCTGGCACCTTGTGATCAGATACTATAATACTAAGGACTCCCCAAGGTCTCTAGTCTCAGGTAGAGGAGAGAGGAGAGGTGACTGCTCTGTGCTTCCCTTATGGCTGGGACAGGCAGTATTCAATGAAGTGCCAGCTGTGACCCAATCAAGAACCCTGGTGCTGGGCAGTTGGGCACCATTGTGATGAGAGAGTACAGGATGGGGAGGTAGAAGAGAGGCAGAGGCAAAATGGTCTGGGGAGAGAGGTATGATGGGGAATATACTGTGTATCTTATTGATTGTTAGATAAAATACTGTTTGGCCAATGAGACAGCAAGTTAGAGTGGACTAGGAGTCAAAGAGGATTCTGGGAAATGTAGTAGAGAAGTGGTGATCCAGGCAGGAAGTGACATAGCAAAGAGATTCATATTTAAGTGAAGGAGAAACAGGAAGGGCCCCTTTTTTCCATTCACCTCCTCCATCGGCAGGATGTGATCCACCGGCCAGGGGGGACACCAACAAGGCATCCGATAAGATAAGTTTTATAAAATATATAGGTTTATGATAGTTAAGACTGAGCTAACAGATGAGAATCCTAGTCATTGGCCAAGCAGCATTGTACCTAATACAAGTTTCTGTGTATTCATTTGGGCCTTAACTCAGGTGGGCAGCTGGCGTAAAGCTCACATGTGGCAGTGGGTTCGGCAGCTTTTGGCAGAAAGATTTATCATAACAGAGGTGAAGTGAGAGTGATAAAAAATGAGCTTACGTGAATGGC